CGGGGGAACCGGCTACACCAAATTTGTGGCTGCAGCACCCGCCCCGTAGTCCCCTCCCAGCGCAGCCCCACCCCAGTGGGAAGAGCTTAGCAGATCCCAAGCCTCAGCCTGCCCCACGCACACCCTGGGGCACACGCCCCCCTCCCCTCCCCCATGTCCTCCCAGGTAAGCACTGGATGAACTGCCAGACCAGCGGCTCCCAGCTGAGCGGCTTGCAGTGGTGGGAGCTGCTTCCCCCGCACCCCTTGGACATGCCTCTTTGCTTTCCTTTCACACCTTTTCCTCACTTCACTGCGGAAGCATGGAACAATGGCCAGTTTTCTATAGATGAGTTTTGATTTGTGCCTTGTTCAGAATCTGGTCCACTATTTATTTTATTCAGAGGTCTTAATGTTACATTTTTTTCTGAAAAGCCAAATCACCTATAAAGTTGATGAAGCAGGGTAAACTGAAGAAGAACTGTTTGGTGCATTGCAATCTCATTCTCTCCTTTCTACAGAGACCCTCCACCCCTTGTTATGTCAGAGCCAGGCAGGTTGTTCATTACAGTCTTCTCAGTAACAGAAATACTGGGAATCTTGCAAACAAGCATCTCTTAACAGGAACCTGAGCTTAATTTTGCAAGCCAAGAAATCTTCAGAGAATACTGCTTCAGAAGCGCATTCATGCTTGTGTGCCCTCCTAACAGAACCAAACTCTTTGAAGTACTCCCATCAAAAAGCCTATTTATAGAAGATTCAGTCATTGGCCCCTGCAGAAAGGTAGCCCAAACAGAAGGGCTCTGTGCAAGTACAACATAATAGAGCTTAAGCTCCCCTTAGGGAGTATGAAAGTTCTGTATCCTTCCCTCCAAATTTTGGAGTGAAAGGTGTCAAAAGCTATGTGAGCTGAAATGTATTGACCCACATCACAATCCACATAGGCAAGGAGTCCACATCACAGTACACACACAGCACATATAAGCAATTAGCATAAGTTAAAATCATAACATCTTCAATAGCACTACATCTGACCAAAGGCTGGAATGTGCTTGTACAGTGCTTCTGAAAAGATGCCAGAGATTGGCAGGACTGCAGAGTGGGATTGAAACTGAATTGGCAGCCCTTTTTAGTTGAAAGGACAGCTATAGCAGGAGCTGCAACAGTATCAGTTTCCCCACAATGTTGTGCTGTTAGACCTGAAACCTGACTCACGAGTCTCTCTGGACGAAGGGTACTTCAGTATTTACCCCTGTATTTTTCTCTCTGCTGCCAGTCTACATCAAGCATCTGTAACTGAGTACTGTTCGTATCCTCTTCTGGAGTCTCAGATGAAATGTGTTGGTAGCATTAGTCCCTTTCCAGTCTCATCACCAAAATCACTTTTACAAATCACTCCTCAGCTCTGAAATTCCCTTCCTCTCAAGGCCAACCAGAGCCCATATCTTGACATCTTTTGGAAGCACTGTAAAAACCTTCCTAATTCAGCAGGCTTTCAGCAAACAAAGCTAGGCTGGAGTGTTTTTAGGCTATTTTATTTGATATGCTGTTTTGTTCTTTTGTTTGTTTTCTTGTTTTATAAGTTATTCTGTTCACTTATTGTAAGCCCCTTCATTGCGAAGGACAGTTTATAAATCATATAAATAAACAGAGTTTCTTATCAATTTATAGCGTTTAGAGTTTAATATACAGAGGGTGCACCAGCATGAGACGCTTAATGCACAGTAGATTAATTCTACTGTGCATTAGTGCATCACAGCAAAAGCCATGCTATTGCGCTAGTACACAGCAGAATTAGTCTTCTGTGAATTAGCATCAATTAGAAGGCGTGAGTCACCGCTACTACCAATAGCACCAATTATTGCCTATGGAGTTAGTACCTGTTATTACAGGTACTAAACTTAATGCAGAGTAACCACAGCACACTAATGCATGTGTAGGCATACCCAGAGAATAGGAACCAGTTGGTTTAAATGATAGAAAGAAAAATGGTCTGCTCACAGCAAGAGAGTTGATCATGCCTGCAGTGGGCTTCAGAATGAATGATAGTGACCAAAGGAAAGATTCAATTTTGTCCTCTTCCACTTCTTTTGAGACTATAATTTCTTTCATAAGGAAAACACAGGATTCTGTAGCACAGGATGGGAGAGCATCTGCCAGTGGCTGCCTAAAACACAGGAGAAAAAATGTTAAACCTGATCCAATATAAAGTATCAAAGAGGCAAAGAACACTTACCTTCTGACACCGTAAGGCTGATCTAGCTTCAAAGGAAATGAAAGCCCATTAATGAACTGAGGGCCAGTTCCACTGAAGTCAGTGGTAGGAGTGCCCTTGGTTTTGATGGCTGCAGAATCATAGATCCTTAGACCAAGACTGGGACTACGTATTTTGGGCATCTCATGTTCTGGGTGTCTACCAGGGACTTAATTTTCAGCTGCCTTTCTTGAAATTCAAGTTAATGGGAAAGATGTCTCAAATTAAACATCTAGGCTGTGTCCGGACAAGCGTGGATGTTTGGTTTCCTGGGGACAAGTAGCAGTGGCATACCTTGCTACACCGCTTCTTGTCCCCAGGGAACACCCATGTCACGTGCACTTTGGCGCGTGGCAAGTTACCCTGGATGGGGTAGAGGAGGCTGGGGCCAGCACTGGGCTGGCCCCAGCAGTCTTACCTGGAGTCCTGGGGGCCTCCCAAAGCTGCAGCAGTGGCAATTCTGTCACATGGAGCCTGGCCAGCAGCCACAGCTTTTTTAACTAAACCTGAGATTTTTATTTTTTTTCCCACCAAACTGTCTGTGAACTTTGTTTAAGCTGTTTGACCTCTGGAAAGGCTAGACAAGGGGTTTTGAAA